GTAATTAGTAACTGATTACTTTTTTCAAGTAACTTGACCAACACTGCACAACAGTGACTCCAGGAAACCTGAATTCATCCTGTTGACACTTTGTGTGACGCTGATGTTTGGACACATCAGGGAACGAGATCCTGAAGATGGAGGTGTTGAACTGGTTTGGATCAGAGTCTAATCCTCCAACTTCCTGTTTCTCAGAGCGAGCTGATGAAGCTTAAGTCTGGTCTTTGACCAGGTCACACAGCGTTTCGACAGGTTGTCTGCAAACATCTTTGGGAACTTTGCAAAGTTGTTTTGTTTTGTGTTGTTTCGAGTTAAGTGTTTGAAGTATCTTGAATGACTGTTTCTTCATGTTTCCTGTGATTGTGAGATTGTGGGGAGCGCTGCTGCAGCAGTGTTACATATTTCTGACGCAGACGGATAAACTCATCTTCAGGCTTATTTCATTCTGAGATGTTTTTTGGGGAAACAAACAAACCCTATAAAAACATCATTATTGTCATTAAGATGATGATGACTGTGAGCAGTGCATCCACACACCTGAGGCATCCTCTGTTGTCTCTGTCCAGACTCTCAAACCTGTCGTACAGACGGAGGAGATGAGCAGACGAGACTGAAACACAGAATAAACATTAACAGCTCAGTCTTTGCAAACACTTGCTGAGGGAAGAAGTGTGACTGTCTTCAACAGTAACTTGTATGTCGACACCTCAAATACACCAGAGGTTTGTTTGCAGTATCCAGGCTATGCATATATGAAATATATTATGTAATCGCACAAATGGGTCGAACAGGCTTGAGCAGAAATCCTGTGACATCAAAATTAATGGAGAAGAGATTCAAATAAAGGAAACCAAAAAGAAAGGATCAAAAACTAATAGCGTATGGCCCCAAAGTAAAAGAAATAATGATTATATATAATTATATTTCTTATTATGAAAAACTAATGTTTCATCTGGGCTTAATCAGCCATCGAGCACCGTCGTGTTTATCTGCCCACAGTGTCCTTATCAGCGAGGACAGTTCAGGGCGTTGCCACAGAAACGCCGACAAACAGCCGACGACGAGTTCACACGGGAAACAGCAACAACTCACACCGTCGCCTCTACAGTCTTAAAGAAAGCTGAAAGTGATGTTGAGTCCCTGAATGAGTCAAATGTGTCTCCACAATGTCAGAAATACAAGTAAATGCTCACACACACTTCCTATTGACAATAACTGTTTTGGGGTTTTCCCAATAAAGAAATCAAGACCCCACGATGGGAGAAATACGAGTACACGCACACACCCAGCATTGACATTTAATGACAGATTTTGTGGTTCAAACAAACAGACTGTGTGGAGACATTCAAGTGTGTAATATATGTATGAGGTGTACGGTACACATGCTCACACATTTAACAGTAAATATTGGTCTGAATTCAGCTTAAACTGGGCAGCTGAGTCGTAACCCCGCTGGGCTTTTAATGAAGCTGCAGATTTTACCATCAGCACCTTTAGAGCCTCTGAAAAGACTGTCTTCTTAAATTTACGGTTAAAAGAAGAAAAATGTTCACATCCTGAAGTTTACATTCAGGTTGTTTTTAGGGGTACAACTCGCTGGTGTTCAAGTTTGAGATGATTTGAATTCATGACATGGTGCATTATCCTGCTCAGAAGATGGTACACAAAGGGATGGACGAGGACAGCGACAGGACTCAGGTACGTGGGCGTCAGTGTCCATGGAACTGACAGCTGGCACATCTGGAAAGGCTCCATCAG